AACAGAACAGACCAGACTAGAATAGAAGAATTTATTTCGTTTAAACATGAGTGATACAGTACAAGTTTTACAATGCATGAAGATGTTACGAGTACATAGGTGATATTCTACATGTTTTACTAGTTATGGCGTACGAAATCTTGCTAAATAATGGAGATTGTGTAATGAGAACGACCCTTTGTTTAGAAATATAAGTATATGATCAAATAACCGCCTGTGTGATGAATAATTATTTCCTGGCATTGTGTGCAAGAACGGGAAGCATTACTCAAAATAGTGACAACTGGTTTTTCTCTTTAGTGAAGTCAAAAATAGTACTTAATCACATAATATGTACATAAAATATTTATGTTATTTAAGATACGCCTTCGTATTTACACAGAATGTAATTTGAATATCAAACAATGATTCTTGGTACAAACAACAAAATCTTATGTGTCAAGATATCACACTGAGATGCTTAAAATTAAGTTGAGGAATGTAATTGTTATAACACAGCCTTGAAGTTATTTATAGGAACGATGCACGGTTTTATACACGTGTATATTTAGGGTACGCCCGACTAGTTCCGATCCCGTAGAGGGTGGGGGCTTTTTTTTAATAATAATAGTTTATTATTTGTCTTCCACATATCTACAAAATTACACAAACGAAACCTAATGTAGACATGTATTTGCTACTATGAATAAAATAACGATAATTAACTATGTAAAAACATCGTTTAAAAATGACTAAGAATAAAATAACTCATGCACTGCAAAGAGAAGGAAAACCTGAAACAAACCCTTTTTTTTTTTTTTTACGTGTGGAAATCCCCTCGGACCGTCACCCCACCGGGGTTTGCGGCGGGGTGGTGTGTCGGACTCGGACCGACTAAAACCACACGGTGTGCCACTCTGCGCCTGTAATAGGAGGGATCCGGGAACAGCTGTTATTAAGACATCCGGACCCCTCCTAGCGCCAGCCCGCTCATGGTGCGGGCTCCGTCTCAAATTTTTTATTTTTTTTCCTCTCTTTAGGCGACGTCCGGCACACGCGGACGCCGCCCCCTCGCGGCTGGCCAAACTAATGCGGGTGGAGGGGAAATTACTTCCTCGCAGAAGGTTGCGACCGCGGTAAAACAACTGTCGCTACCGGCCATGGAGCGTACTACGGCCGGTAGCGAGAGATCCACTCCGATGACTGCAGTGAGGGCCCGGCGCTGCGTCGTCCATGCGGGGCAGACCGCCAGCGTGTGCTGGGCCGAGTCCTCACTGCAGTCGCAGTGGTGGCAGGCGGGACTCAGTTCCCTCCTAGCGACCGAGTGCAGGTACTTTCCGAAGCAACCGTGCCCGGAAAGCACCTGCGTCAGCCGGAAGGTAAGGGTCCCGTGCTGCCGCCCTGCCCACTCGGCGATGACCGGCTGGAGAGCCTCCACGGCGGCGAAGCCAGCGCGTGGAGTCTCCAGCCGGAACGACCAACGAGCCATCGTGGCTCGGCGAGCGGCTTCGCGCTACTCGCGCACGTCTTCGGGCGGAGGGCGAAATCCGCTCTCCGCCCGGGAGTCAGCCACTCGCCGATAAACTTCGGCGAGCACTGCCGCCTCCAAATCCCACGGGGGAGTTCTGGCCAACGCGCACGCCACCTCCGTCGAAACGGTGCGGTAACCGCGTATGGCTCTGACCGCCATTACCCTCTGAGGGTGCCAGAGGCGTGCCCTATTCTGGGCGGTCAGAGCCGCCGCCCGCCCACACCGGTGCACCGTATAGTGCCATTGACCGGACAACCCCCGTGTACAGCCGTCTTGTCGCGACGCTGGGTCCACCCAAATTGGGCAAAAGTCGCCCTAGGGCAGACTTTGGAGCAAGCTGTCGGAAGTGCTTGTCGAAGAGCCACCTCCCGTCGAGGATCAGACCCAGATATTTCATCTGGGCCCGAACCGGTACGAGGACCGAGTTGACCACGATTGAGGCGCCAGGGGGTTTACCACGACGGGGCCCATGAAATGAAAATGAAATAACAGGGCCTCCGTCTTATCTAGGGCCACCCGTAAGCCCAGCGCCTCAATGCGCCCGACCACCAGGGAGACTCCCCTCTTGGAAGTTCGCCCCCCGGGCTGTCACCAGAGTGTCATCTGCATAACAAATTACACCCAGCCCGGGGGGGGAAATTGGCTCGAAGGGCCCAGTCGTACCCTATGTTCCACAAGAGGGGTCCAAGAACAGACCCCTGTGGAACACCGCACGACATGGGCCGACACCTCAAATTACCCTCTCGGTCCTCGTACACGACGGTACGCTCCTCTATATAGTCTGCCACTAGCCGCCTCAGGTACTTTGGCACCCCATGATAGTGGAGTGCTTCCCTGATCAGCTGAATGGCAGACTATTGAATGCGTTGGCGATGTCCAATGACACCGCCAACAGCACGCCGCCACTGCTCACGGCCTCTTCGGTCACGGCCCTCAGGCGCAACACAGCGTCGACTGTCGAACGCCCCGCCCGAAAACCAAATTGGGCGTCCGACAGATCGGGGCCCACCTCGTAGAGGTGCCGGACGATGCGGGCAGAGAGAACCCTCTCAAACAATTTACCCGCCTCGTCCAGCAGCACGATGGGCCTGTAGGCCGCGACCGAATCGGCAGGCCGTCCCGGCCTCCTTAATAGGACCAGCTTCCCGCTCTTCCAGCACTCAGGGAAACGTCCCGACGCCAAGCTAGCGTCGAACACCTCCCCGAGGCGGTCTGCCATGTGGTTGAGGGCTAGGGCCAGCACTCGGGCCGGTACCCCGTCTGGTCCAGGGGCGGTGTTCTTGGAACGGATCCGTAGAACAGCCGCCTCTACCTCCGAATCCCGAACGGGCGGAACATCATCCTCCTCGTGCTCCCCGTCGTCTCCGGCCAAGGAGGCCATCGCCGGGGGAGTGTGTTCCGCTCGTTGCGGAACCTGAAACAAACCCTATACCAACCCGTCTGGCCAGCGTGGTATAATACGCCAAAACCTCCTTTCTAAGGAGAGGCCTATGTCCAGCAGTGGACTGTTAATTATGCATTATCAAGAGAGGGCCGAATTCAAGTTTCTTTCACATCGCGCGAGTATTTTACAGAGCGCGTTTAGCATTGCGATTGGTGGAGATTTCAGTGCGGGCCAACCGTAGCACCGGACGCGGTCACCGTGACAATCGAGTATAAATAAAGGAGAAAAACTAAAATTTTAATAAATTAATAACCGCATGAACAAAATTTTAGCCGAAGGCGATTCCGAGTTCGGTACAAGCATATTTTGACGGGCTCAACCAAAGCGATACCACAACCTCACAACAAAAATCGATGTTAAACAATTTTCTTGTTGCGTGAGGTATACCCCGAAGTCATACTTAACAGGCAACATTCATAGGTTAATCATAGAGTAGCAGATGTCCACAGATATCATCATCATCATCATCATCATCAACAGCCTATAATAGTACACTGCTGGACATAGGCCTCTCCTTTGAAAGGAGGTTTTGGCCTACTATACCACGCTGGCCAGACGGGTTGGTATAGGGTGTGGTTTCAAGTTTTCCTTCTTTTTGCCGTGCTGTTGTCCTGTGCAGTTTGTTCCCTTAGTCGGCTCTTACGACACCCACGGGATGAATAGGGGTGGTGACATTCCGTATTCTTAATCCGTCACCACACGGATTACAGATATCACAGATATCAGTAGTCTGTTACCACGACACGACTAAACTTTCAGCGAAAGAGCTCAAAGCAATATATAGGCTGTAATTTTAAACTATTAGTATTAAATTATATTGTGAGTGTTTGTTCTATGTTAATATCAAACTCTAGTAGGAGAATATTTAGGTAAGCTCAACTACGCAGACACAGAAAACATCTTAGTAATTTTAAAATGATCTAATTTAAACTACAATAAGTATATATTTGTGTATACAAACCAGTCTGAAGTAATTTACATTATCAATCTATTATAACTTTAACATATGAACGTCCTGTAACTAACATAGTCAAGCGACTGCTTGAAACGCAGGTCTCACACCTTTTTTTTTTTTTTTTTTTTCCGTCCGGAAATCCCCTCGGATACCACCTATCGGTGGCATGTCGGACTCGAACCGACTACAACCGCACGCCATCTCGGGTACTAATAGCCGGGGAACCAGGTATACCCTAGAAAGGAAGTCCCTGGTGCCCCGACATACCTCGGGTCATCTACAGACGAGTAGACGACCCCCCCCGTGTGGGAATCCCATGTTCCCTGTGCTCCCTGGAAGCGAGCGCGCTTCGCAACGCGCTCGCCGCCACCCCGGCCTGCTTCTGCTAGGGTGACAACAGGTCTCACGCCTAGCTCAGGCCGTTTGCAAATTTTTTTTTATATTTTGTTTTCACCTCTTTATATTCAATCTTGCACATTTTAGAATAGTCATATACTAGTTTTATGTTAGCTTTAGTAACAAACTTTATATAAGAATCTAATGACAATAACATGAAAATCATAAACAAAATGTAACCTAGATTTTATATTTTTTTTCTTTTTTAAAATGAAGTCAAAATTTCCTTAGTATTATTTTTAATTTTCACAATTTTAACTTTCATGATTCCTATCAGATAGCGAACAATATGACCTATTTATTTTAATAATCAGATGTAACAATACGTATCTGTGGAATTGAAATAAAGGTTTTATAACAATAACAATGAGCGATACTATTCTGTTTATCCTGCAGTAATTTAAAACTAATAGGCTACCAAAATGCTTCCATGTAGCATCAAATAAAATAGAAATAATATAAAGAAGAAGGTTAATACAACAAAGTTATCCAAATAATATTTTATGTCCTCAACCTTTATGTTATTCTGGGATCAGCTTGAGCCATGTCTACTTATGAAAAAAAAACACAATAAATTCTTAAACCTCAGTATATTGTCCTACATTAAAAATTTTAAACATCTAGTCCAATCCAATCCAGTCCAAAAGTCCAAACATCCTAATTCAAATTATACCTTATGATTCAGAATTAATAAATTAGTAACTAGTCTTGCCAAAGATGCAGTTTCCTGGTGCATTAACATCTTCAGACGAGAAATACTCCTTCCACAACTGTTGGAATTCGCTCCAGGATACGGAAGACTTGCCCTGAGCCATCTTCTGGAAAGCTGCTACCGCTTCATCCTTGTTCAGTCCAAAGGAAGCGTACACTGACGAAAATTCATCACTATCAATAGATCCATCGTCGCTGGAATCCTCAAGTTCAAAGATGAATTTGCAGTACAGTTTCTGCCATTCTTCAGCAGCAGAGGGGTTCTTAGCAAATGATTCCCACAAGCTGAGCCATTCGTCTTGAGTTACTTGACCATCTTTGTTGGCATCAGCGCCGGATTGGAGTCCTTCCCAGATCTTGTTAAGAGTTGTTTCAACTGCTTTGTACTTCGCATCGCCTGCAGACCATCCTCTGAGCTTACCTATCCTCTCGATGGCTAGGTCAAAGTCCTGCTTATCGATACTTCCACTTCCATTGGTGTCAAAGAAAGCGGTGAAGACGTGAAGGAGTTTCTTCTTTCTGAAGTCTGAGACCATTTTGACTGGATTTTTTACTTGAATACTGAATGAATACTACTTCCTTTTGGACACCAAGCTTATATACATTACATTTACTGTAGTGTAAACAATGATAACGCTTTGAATCTTTGTATTTTGTCATATTGTTATCTTTTTGAGATTTAATTGATTAAAGTAAAAGGTAAAACATATTATTTTATATACATAATGTTTGTTTGTCCAAAAAAATAATTGACTTTTAAATCTTATCGCATATAAGTACATCAGGCTACTAATCGGTCCAGCTAAAGATTAGTTGAGAAAGCTAAAGTCTAGGTGCCGTAATCTTTTTCGTAATTTTTTTATTTGTTAAAAAAAAACAACTTGCTTTAATATTTAAAGATGTCTGGTTTTTATAGTATACTTTATTAAATTCTATCTCATTTATAACTAAAATTTAACTCTAACGTAAGTAGTACTGAGTCTGAAAGCATAAAGTAGAATTGTTTTAAATTCGATATTTAAGTCCATACCATTTACCATTAGAGATATATGAAATACTAGCCGATCAGTGTATTGTCACCTGCATTTATGGTAGCTTGCTTTGCTCCTAGGAGTCGTAGCTTTTTGTGCTATAACCCATATTATTCCTTAATAAAAAATGGCTGGCTGGCTATAAAAGTGGCTAAAAGTGGTTTAAGTGGTCGCCACGCCGCTTTCTACTACGCCGAGTGTTGTGGGTTCAAACCCCACATAGGACAACACTTTGTGTGATCCACAAATTGTTGTTCTGAGTCTGGGTGTTCTTTGTGTCCGTTTCATGTATGTTTGTAAAATCCCCCGCGACACAGGAATATATATTCCTAATGCGGGCGTTGTCTTTAAAAAAAAAAAAAAAAAAAAAAAAAAAAAAAATCGGACGTACAGGTTCAGAGTTCAAGTTTAAGCAAACAAAAAATTCTTCAGCTTGCTTATACTAGTATAGATTTCCTTATTTGTTATGTTATGGGTGAGGCAATTCATAACAGAAACCATGAATGTTCAAGCTCTGGTGGTGTATGATAGTGATTGAGATTGATGGGGTATTAGAGTGAATATCTATTACATATTAGTTTATGGGAGGGAATTAAGGAGGGCCATGTGCATTGTAGGGGATATATCGCCTTGTCGTCCAGCGGGTCAATGAACGTTATTATGACGTAGTGTCGGATTCCGATAAGACTAAGTTATGTATAACAGTAGTGTTATGAGAAAAAATAAATGAGAAATGTTTATTGTTAGTGTTCTGCCGAGTGTTGTGGGTTTAAACCCCACATTGGTATTGGTTGTGGGCTTCGGTTGCCGCAGTTAGACTCAAGAGTGGTCCTTTATGCGTCGAGGACTGGTCGGCTAGGTGAGCCAAGGTCCTTCCACAAGCGCAGAAGCCTCCTGGGGCGTTCCAGGCTTCTAAGAGTGATTTTGTATCGAAAAAACCTCACATGGGACGGCACTTTGTGTGATCCACAAATTATTGTTCTGAGTCTGGGTGTTCTTTGTGTCCGTTTCAAATATGTTTGTAAGGTCCCCCGCGACACAGGATATATTACTAATGCGGGAATTGTCTTTTTAAAAAGAACAGAAGACATCGTCTGGTGGTCGCGTCTTGACACCTGATGGCGAGTGCGTTGCCTTTTGAAACCCCTCACTCCCTTCAGAATTAGGGGATGGGGGTTTCAAAAGGGGGGTCCTTCGGTAATTTTAGTCACTAGGTAACAATGGTCTTGAGGTCTGTCGAGCCGCAATAAATACGTAATTTTTGTGGACATTACTGTTAACGAAAAAAAGCTATTTTACAAAGCAATAAATTTATTAATGAATCATTAAGGCGAGCGAAGTCGCCGAAACAGAATTATACCCCGGTGTCTCATCATAGATAATTATCAGTACTGCCGTATATGAGGTGTTATGTTATCATTTCGCTATCAAGTGAAGTCTACTGCAATGCAACACGTCTCCCTGATAAATTATTTGTACTGATTACATGATTCTAACACAAACAGACATACATACAATTAGTTTAAAAGTATTTAGGTATCAACAGCATTTGCCTGCAGACCTGTTGTCAAGTAAGAATTATATTATTGGCAGGTAAATACATACAATTGGGTAAACCTACCCTACTTTTAAAGTGTTTTAAATTGATCACGAGGCAACAGAAAATACCTAAAATATTCAAAAAATAAATAAACATATAAGTGGCATTCAAACATTTTTTTAAATTTATGATTTAACGTGAAATGACGTCGTGTAGGTATTAAACCACACCTTCGTGTACGTATTAAATCATAACTTAATTAAATTTAAATTAAATCATAACTTAATTAAATTTAAATTAATCATCATCACATCACATCAACAGCCTTTAATAGTCCACTGCTGGACATAGGCCTCTCCTTAGAAAGGAGGTTTTGGCCTACTATACCACGCTGGCCAGACGGGTTGGTATAGGGATTGTATCAAGTTTTCCTTCTTTTTGCAGTGCTGGTGTCCTGCGTTGTTTTGCGCCCTTAGTCGCCTCTTACGACACCCACGGGATGAATTGGGGTAGTGACATTCCGTATTCTTAATCCGTCACTACACGGACTAATTTATTATAATTTATATTTATAATTTATAAATATTTATATTTATAAATATTTATAATTTATAATTATATAAAATATAATTTAAATTAAATCATAACTTAATTAAATTTAAATTCAATCATAACTTAATTAAATTAAAAATTAATTCATAACTTAATTAAATTTAAATTAAATCATAACTTAATTAAATTTAAATTAAATCATAACTTAATTGTGGGTACGTTGCTATCCTTATGTTTAATGGTGATGATAGACCAGTACAACGTACAGCGATGTGTGAAACAGTTCAAAATTAGTCAAACCACAATTCGGAATTATTGGTCAAAAATATCGATAATCAAAGAACTTATTCTCCATAGCTTTGTACTTTCTGTCTGTATAAAAACTGTTGTTCATGATATTATTTATTTGTGCATAATATATACGAGGACGAAAAACATTCGAAAATCTATACAAATAAATAAAATTGAAGTGTCTGTTTGTTATGTCAAAATAATAGGTTATTTTCATGCTTACACGGTTATTTGCACGATCATCATCATCATCATCAACAGCCTTTAATAGTCCACTGATGGACATAAGCCTCTCCTGAGAAAAATTTGCACGATACCTAGGCCTAAAAATCAGTTTAATTTTTTTTTGTCTGTCTGTTTGTTCAAAACGGCTCTACCAATTTTGACGATATTTTAATACTAGGTAGCTATCTATATAAGGAGTAACTTAGGCTATAAAATTTTGCACGGTCCAGGAATCGAACCCACTAAGGCAGCGCTTTTTAAATTCCACGCGAACGAAGGCGCGGTCACCAGCTACGAGTAGTTTATCACAAAATTTAAAATTTGCTTAGTTAAGATTATCGTTTTTCCTTAAGTTAATTATGCAAGTTTTTGATTAGCTGATATGTACTGTCATTTATTTTTAGGTTCATATATAATAATAATAATATTAACTTCATAACATCATCCCTTTTTGGCACACTTGGTTAAGGCCCGTGTGTTAGATTTTGTTACCCCTTTAAAATAAAAGGGAGACCAGACAAGGTATAAAATGACATAATAATAATATTCTACCACATTCACACAACGCCATCTAGTCCCAAACTAAGCAGAGCTTGTACTATGGCTACTAGACAACTGATATAAATACATATATACTTTTTTTTTGTAAATACATACATATTATACATAGAAACGCCCAGACCAAATCAAACATTAAATGTTCATGCACACAAATGCTTGACTTGAGCGGGAATCGAACCCGCGACCTTTGGAACAGCTGTCCGTTACACAAACCACTACGCCATTCGGTCGTCAAATAATATATAAATAATATATTTGATAGTATATAATATCAATAACTATACCTAAGGGTGTGATGTCACTGATGCTCTCAGAGACAGATGGACTGCATCACTCACACGTCCTTACACCTACACGTTATGATAAGGTTTGGATACGGTATATTACGATCAGAGACCTCCACTAGAAGAGAGGTATGTAATACCCTAAATAAGAGATCGCGTTAATTCCCGTTAAAATAATATTAATTATCACACTAGAAGAGTTTTTTATTTATGATAAACGTTTCTGGTTGTCATTAATAGCCAGGATTAATAGGAGACCCATGTTCAGTAGTAGACGTCTTTCGATTAAGACCATATTTTTTTTTAGAAGGATTTATATTTAAACCTAATTTAGTATAACTGTAACGACACTGATTTTTTCATCGTGTGCACTTTAAACTTTAAGGAGGACACTCCAGGCACGCATGCAGACTCTGGGCGTCTATACGACTGGTCTGTTGGTCTAGTGGTTAGTGACAATGACTGCTACGCCAGAGGTCGTGGATTCGATACCCACTCAGGATAAATAATTGTGTGATGAACACGGTCATTTGCTCAGTGTCTGGGTATACTTTATCTACAGTATGTATGGATTTAGAAATATATAAATATGTTTATCAGCAGTCTGGTTACCATAGCACAGGCTCTGTCTAGTTTAGGATCAGACGGCAGTGTGTAAAATGTAAAAAAAAAACAGTTGGCTGGTAAGCGAATTTTCTTCCATCACAACTATACACCTACTAAACCCTGGTATAACAAGCTAAATATTGAAAAAAAAAACAAAACACCCGAACAAAATTCAACGAACCATTCAGGCTGCAGAGCGTGCCAAACATTTGAATTTCGCGCCAAAAATCCGCCATTTTGTTTTTTTTTTCTTATTTTGATATACCCAGTGTCACTCTTACAGTAAATACGAATCTAACGATACATCTCAAGCTAAAATCCATCAAGACATTCAAGTCGCAGAGCGTGCCAAACAATTATACAAACATACATACTCTTGAAAAACATAACCCTCCTTCTGGAACAGCCGTGTAAAAACTTAAATAATATTTATTATTATAAGTGTTTTACTGTATTGTATCCCGAGCCAGTTCGAAAGAGAAACGTTATAATATTGATACACATGTCTATTACGTCCATTTCCCAAAGGGATATACAGCGTGGAAAATCTGATTAAAATTTGTTGTGTAAATTTTACAAGCTTTTAAACTGATTGGAAAATTTATAATGTGATTTTACGTAACATAATATTAGAAAGTTACTTAACCTGCTAACATAAGATTTTTGTGCCCTCTCTTTGTATATATTTTACGTATGTTTAATCTATACAAATAAATAAAATTGAAGTGTCAAAATATTAGGTTTTTTTCATGCTCACCCGGTTATTTGCACTATGCCTAAAAACCAGTTTGTTTTTTTTTTGTCTCTGTCGGTCTGTCTGTGTGTCTGTTCGTTCCGGGTAATCCCCTAAACGGTTGGAAATATTTTGTTAATATTTTACTAAGAGAAAGCTGTCTATATAAGGAGTAACTTAGGCTATTTTTCCTCTCAGAAAAACCCTTTCAAGTTTTGTCAGGTCCGGGAATCGAACCCACTACGGCAGCGCTTTTCAAATTCAGTTGAAACGTCAGGTAATTTAAAGACTAGGTACGTATATAACATTTGGTTGTATGTATAATGGTTAATAGATAATTAATTAATAGGTAGATATTAATGTCACTTAATTATGTCTTATGGAGACTGCACGGATGGCACGGATGGCGCAGTGGTTTAAGCGGTCGCCACGCCGCTTCCTACTACGCCGAGTGTTGTGGGTTCAAACCCCACATGGGACGACACTTTGTGTGATCCACAAATGGTTGTTCTGAGTCTGGGTGTTCTTTGTGTCCGTTTCATGTATGTTTGTAAAGTCCCCCGCGACACAGGATGTATTCCTAATGCGGGAGTTGTCTTTAAAAAAAAAAAAAATCCAAACGATTTTGACGCACCATAAAAGTGTCTAATTATTAATCTGGATATTTTAACAAATTTTATATTAATATTGATATTTTAACAGTTTGACTGCACGGATGGGGTAGTGGTTTAAGCGGTCACCTCGCCGCTTACTACTGCGCCAAGTTTTGTGGGTGTGATCCCCACACGGGACAACACTCTGTGATCTACAAATGTTGTTCTGAGCCTGGGTGTTCTTTGTGTCCGTTTCATGTATGTTTGTAAAGTCCCCCGCGCGCGTTTTTAAAAAAACAAAAATGGTCTCCAGAAGAACTCTTTTTATATGATGCCAAAAATCCTATGTAGTCGCTGTCTGTCAATCAAACCTCATCCACCCTTTCGTACCTCTCGCCCTTAACTAATGCGATAAAAGAGAGTTGTAATGGCCCAACAGCCCAACAGTGGGGTACGCCACTCATTTGCCAAATTGACCAAACCCATAGAATTTTTTATAGCCACTTCTAGATATCAATGTCTCAGACGAGGAAATGTAATGATGAACATAACTCGAACATCGTCGGTTATTTTTTACTGTTGGCAGATGTTTGTAATTGTAAACCTCGCATTTTATAGTGAGTGGTTTTTTATATATTATATTATTATTTCTTATAAAGTAACAAATTGTTTATTTTTTGTTTTATACTTAAGCTTTTTTATATTTTAGAAGTAATGCGGCACTAACTTTTGCATATTATCTATACTAATATTATAAAGCTGAAGAGTTTGTTTGTTTGAACGCGCTAATCTCAGGAGCTACTGGTCCGATTTGAAAAATTCTTTCAGTGTTAGATAGCCCATTTATCGAGGAAGGCTATAGGCTACATATCATCACGCTAAGACCAATAGGAGCGGAGCACCAATGAAGAATGTTTCAAAAACGGAGAAAATTTATTACTATTGAGAGACGCAGACGAAGTTGCGCGGGTCAGCTAGTTGATAATATAACTTTTCTATACTAATGTTGTCATAATGCAGACAGTTTTAAAGAACGATAAAATAATAGCTGATGTAATAAAACTTGTCAATGAATCAGACGGGCCTGTTGGTCTAGTGGTTAGTGTCCCTGACTCCTAAACTGGAGGTCGTGGGTTCGATTCCCACCCAGGACAAATAATGTGTGATGAGCGCTGTTATTTGTTCTGTGTCGGCGTGTAATTTATCTATAATATGTATCTATTTAAAAATATATAAGTATGATTTTTAGCAGTTTAGTTACAATAGTACAAGCTCAGTTTAGCTTTAGATCAGAACCAGAACGAAACGACAGAGAAACTGAGTTTTTTTCAATACTTCTTAGTTATTTATTTCTAAATATGATGTGTGTGTAACATTCTGAGGAGTATTCCTCTTTCGGCACCAATTTTTTGAGCAAATATGGATTCAGCAGCTAAGCTAATCTATAGGTATATTAGCACTAAATCAATGTGGAACAAAACAAAATACTAACATTCTTCTTCTTCGAATGCCTTCTTAGCAGTTCCCTCTGTACTACTACTCCTTTTTTGTTCTTCGCTAGTCGAAAGAGATCGGCAGCAATAGCGATACCCGTCATTTCTCGGATGTTGTGTAGCCACTTTTTTTCTGCTACCAACATATAGGTTCATCTACGATTATTTTCATCCGGCAACCTTTCCCATGATGAAACAGGCGGAACAGTTCATACGCATCTTTCACGCCTTAGCACACACAATAAAACTTACCTATGTAATACAAAAATAATTATTCTAGTCTGACTGATAAACTTAATGCGTTGAAACAAACTATCAAACAGAAAAATCTTTACTATTTTTTTCATTAGTGCAAATTCTATACCCAAAAAATTGTATCAGTTTTACAAAACACGAAAGATTGCCTGCCGTACTCCTCTGCGTTAAGGCATCCCCGTATGTCATCAGTATTAATCAACAACAACTCAACACACGTTACAGAGAGGGATCTAGGACGTGCAATAAATAGAGAAAACGCATTCAAGTCAACAAGAGAATCCGTCCCCTAGGTAATCCATCAGATACATGGGGTAACATATCCTTGAAATTGCTACCGACTGCTAATATATTGAGATAATTTAGCTGTGTGTGTAAAAAAAAATGTGAGGGAATACGCCTAATAGTAAAAAAAATATATTTAATTCCATCGTTGAGTAGTATTATACGCTCAAGTGCTTTACTGCATTTATAAATATTCTCTAAATGCGAATATTTATAAAGGCTATTATTTGCAGGATACCAATGCCTAAAAACTTTTGTCTGTCTGTCTGTCGGTCGGTCTGTCTGTCTGTTTGTTTTGTTAGTTCCCGGTAATCTTCAAAACGGCTTGACCGATTTTGATAATATTTCACTACCAGATAGCTGTCTAAATATGAAGTAACTTAGGGTATTATGGTTCTCAGAAAAACAGTATAAAATTTTGCCCGGTCCGGGAATCGAACTAAGACAGCGCTATTCAAATTTCACCCGATACCAGCTAGTTCAATAGGAAAATTGTATTGCGTGTTCAGAAGCTCCTAAGATATGACTTCATGATATCTATTGAATGATTCATTCATATTAAAATAAAACACAAACAATTATAATTTACCTTTAACATAATCAATCTTTTCAAAATCTTTTCAAAACGAAAAAACTAAAACAAGAACGTGTTATAATCAGAAATTCTTAAAATTTTCAAGTTTTCACTTCTGTCAGCTCTCCCGGAGCGCCACTGTTTTTGAAGCGAAAACTTCTGTAGGCACGTTGGGCATTTTTTTCATAACTTTACTTTTATATTATCTAATAAAGTATATATACATTTATAATTCCCGGTGCTAAAGAATTCAGACATCATTACCCAAGTTAAAACCAACACCAAAAGAGAGGAACTGTGACACAGTAAAAAAAAAATTAAAATATTCAAATATTTTATTAAAAAATAACCATACACAATAATTTGACAAGGTACGTAACTCCCTTGTAAATACACTTTCATTCATAATATTTGTTTATTTTTAATTTAAAGTGGTCCATAAATGTAATTGCCTGGTGCCTCTGGATCTTCTGACAAAAAGAACTCCTTCCACAATTCCTGAAATTCTTCAAAGGTAATAGATTCCTTGCCACTTGAAACTTTCTTAAACGCTTCTGAAGCGTCTTCTTCGCTAAAGCCATAGAATGAGTAGGCAGCGACAAATTCCTTCTCATCAATGGCATCATCGCTACCCGTGTCAATGAATTGGAACATATATTTACAATTTCGGCTTGCCCATTCGGGTGGTTCTGATGTGCCTTGATCCTTAATTAAAGAATCCCACATAGTGACCCATTCATCTTGAGTAATGACACCATCGTCATCTGCATCTGCCTGGCCCTTAAGCAACTGCCAAACCTTCTGGTGACCATCTTTTATCTTTTCAAAGTCTGGATCTCCATCAGCCCACCCTTTGACTTCAGCTACTTTCTGGGTAGCCTGATCGAAGTCTTCTTTCGTAATAGTACCACTTTTGTCTGTATCAAAGAAGGTAGTAAACACATGTATGAACTTTTTCTTTCTGAACTCCGACACCATTTTGATTAACAAATGTCAAAAGATATTGCAACTGACTGGTTACAAGCTTTTTGTGACCTTTTTATACTTTCAATTGTCAAGATTAGGTTTATCAAATCAGTTAATTCGCCGATATCAGTAACATGACTAATACTTAGTGTCCGACTGAAGATTGATTTTTAGGTGAAGACGAGCCGAATAATAGGACACGCCAAAACCTTAGCTAGAAGCCGAAGGTTTAAATATATTTATATAATTTTTTATCAGTATCCCTTGCTTATTTCGAATCGAGTGACAACCTACGATTTCATTGAGTAGTTTAGTTATTACTAACATGCACAATCGTATACCTTATTGTAATATTATATATATTATAGTTATTATTATTACGTAGTCCTTATTATAATATACAGTTATTATTATTATTGTTATAAATTAAAAAAAAAATTAAGCAATTTATAAATCACGATACTTAACAAAAAGACACTACACACTTTAAGTACTATTGAAAAGTTATGTAATTGTTATGTTAATTATTATGGTCGAAGGTGGCCTAAGCCTAATTCGGTGGTACATCACTAATACTATAGCTTCATGTATAAAATCATCGTTTATTCGCAATATTATCGCATTGATAATTTATTTTAGGTCATTACACACATTAGACTTTATCGCTTATTTCCGAATGTTTATTTACTCACGTAATCAATGCAAGTCAGGGTTATTTATTTCATACCTGCAAACTTGTAGCCGCTTTTCTTCTCAGGCGGACTACTCACCGGCTGACCCAGTGGAGAGATTCAAGAGATTACCTCAGGGCGCCTTGTATGAGAATAGAAGTGTGTGCGTGTGGGAAACCTATGGGACTCTTTAGAGGAAAACAACTTACACCGTAACTTACACAGTTATACATACATGTATATTTAAAAAAAAAGTAGATCAAATTTACAATAAGAAATTAAATAAATTAAACAGTGTGGGTACAAGAAAAAGAAAAAAAACCGCAGCGGAGCGCGTTAGAGCCGAGCTGATGGTGCTCGGTGCCTCCTCGTCGTCCCTCCAGGAGGTTACTTCCTCTTCCGCCCGAGTCGGCTATTTATATTAGATATGGATAAAAGTTTAACAATTTGCAATTATAAGTTTAAGTACGTAACTCTTGGGTACGGCTGTCCGCTTGCGTCGTGAGCCACGCAATCACCAGCTTTGCCAGAGGGTACCGAGAAACTTGAGTCTGTACCAGAAGGTCACAAAAGAGCAAGCACGCCGTCTGAGACTGACCGTCTTGACCCCGAAATCTGGGACCCTACGAATGGATTAGCACTCATATAATTAATCAGGTTCCAGAAACAAATAGGTTTAAGAAGAATTTAGACAATACTTACCACTTTAGTGGGTATATTTAAACAGACTACATATTACGAAATTCAAATTACACGACAATCAAAACACTATTTAAGGTTGAAAGACACGAGATAGCAGAGTGTCTCTCGTGGTAGAAAGCCGGACTTATATATCCTCGGTTCAGGAATCTTCCAGAAATTAACCCCTCTTCATCATTTCACTTTGACATTTAAATTGAGAAAGAAAACAACGCTAACAAAATCAAAAGTAACTTGCTTTCCACCATAGCTGAACACTCTCAACACCTACACAATTTGACATGACAGAATAACAAAACAGATTAAAAAAGTAAGTCTTTTTAATTAATCTATGATGTCTCAAACAAACGCCATCTAGTGGTCCGAAAGTGAACAAAGGAGATCAATACCGTAGCTACAAACTACTTTAGATAAATCAACAACAAAGCGATGCGGCCAACAGGTGTCGCTTTTATCAATACCGTACGCATTACTAATATACCAAAAAAATAACTGTTACAAACTTAGAGGTAGAAATATCATAAAAATGACACAACTCATCATCTGAGAGCCAAATACAAGTATTTATATCATTGAAGTGAAAACTTCTTTGAGTAAAAAGCGTACTCCTTTCTAAAAGGCCGGCAACGCGTTTGTGACTCCTGAGTTGCAGACGTTCAGCAGATCAGGTGACCCGTCTGCTCGTCTGCCCCCTCTAACATAAAAAAAAGCGCGTTGGGCATTTTTGAACAACAAACAAAAGAATATATTTTTTGAGATGGGAATAAACACTTGAACTCGCGACACTGTTACCGTTGCCGACACCTCTGTATTTAAGTATATACATATATTAGCTCCGTTTACACGAGAGTTGAGTTTGGGTAGAAATACATTGATAATGGTTGGTTATATACTAGGTACTATGTATAAGTAGGTGATTTGTTACATACCACTTGTGGTTTCCCTATACTCACCACTCATATAATACACTAGCTGACCCGCGCAACTTCGTCTGCGTCTCTCAATAGTAATAAATTTTCTCCATTTTTGAAACATTCTTCATTGGTGCTCCGCTCCTATTGGTCTTAGCGTGATGATATATAGCCTATAGCCTTCCTCGATAAATATGCTATCTAACACTGAAAGAATTTTTCAAATCGGACCAGTAGTTCCTGAGATTAGGGCGTTCAAACAAACAAACAAACTCTTCAGCTTTATAATACTAGTACAGATGACAGCTGAACAGAGATTTAATTTTCCTTTTATCTTTGATAGTTATATATTAATTTGTTTTTTTTTAATGTTTCTCTATTTGGGATATTTACAGCTAGAATTATTAAAATAAAAAACCCCTAGTGTAGCAAAATCACTTATAGCGATACCGATAGTTAACCGATAGGCACATACCACTTGGTATCTGCCTATCGGTTTCACATTTTAACTTGACTGGTGACCTCTAAACAACCTTCAAAATCGAAAGGTAGATTTTTTAATGACATACACGAACATTCGCCAAAAAGCTATGAACAGAAGCCGGGCAATAGCACACAATAATTTTGTTTTGATTGTCAATAGGTATGTATATTACAATAAGAAATAATATGTTATCCACTGACGTCAGTACCTTTGATACAAAGCCGTGACGTCCGCGGGCCCCGTCCCGCAATACATCAACACAAAAACAAAGGAGTAAAACAAAAAATATATCTTTTGTTTGTTTAGAACCCTCAGGGCGTGCAAGAAATTGTTTTCCACAGTAAGTGACTATGTGTAGGATTATTTATTTTTTGTTGTTTTCGTTGCAAAGGATTGGACTTTGGTAGAGAACCTTTGTGTTAGACTATTTGTGTGGTTTTAACTTCACTAGTTTTGTGCTCGACTGCTAGCATGTAGAACCATTAATATTTTTAGATTTCTTTTATGTTCCCAATAAATACCATACGTGGTACACGGTGATACTTATGAAAGGTCAGTAACAGGTCCGTGCTTATTTTCGTCCCAACTAAAAATTTTCTTCGCATCTTTAATAAAGGTCATCAAAGAATATATTGTGCGTACGTCAGTGTCCGTTCCTCCCAAGTGCAACGAATCTAGCGACTTCTCACGGAGCCAAACTGAACTATAAAGAGAATCAAAATATAAGATCAGGAGATCAATATCTGGAAACATCTGCATTTCATCATCATCATCATCTACAGCCTTTAATAGTCCACTGCTGGACATAAGCCTCTGCATTTATTTGTAACTAATCATGGATTTGTGTGTGGGTGTGTGCTTAAGTCAATTGCCTTTTAGCGCAAGAACAATGCAGTCCAAAAGACACCAATACAATGCCACTGCTTCGCTTTAATTACATAAACACTTCTCCACTGTACATCCTCTCTTCACTTAAGACATGCGGATGCCAGTAATACTGTCAAAACTAACTTCTGCGCTTATGTAATTAATTATTTTAAACATCAACTAGCTAACCCTGCAAACGTTGTTTTGCTATTTACATTATTTAATTTTATTTTTTTGAATTTCTTAAAATTCGTTCTTAACTGACCTCTACTCGGTGAAAAGAATATTCCTACCAAATTTCAAGTCTTTTGCTCTAATGGGTCCAGAGATATCGTGATGAGTGACTATATACGTGGAAATCTCTTATATATATATAGATAGATTGAATCCGTGTGGTGACGGATTAAGAATACAGATTGTCACCACCCCTATTCATCCCGTGGGTGTTGTAAGAGTCAACTAAGGGAAAAAACTACGCAGAACAACAACATTGCACAGAGAAGGAAAACTTGACACAAACCCTATACCAACCCGTCTGGCCAGCGTGGTATAGTAGGCCAAAACCTCCTTTCTAAGGAGAGGCTTATGTCCAGCAGTGGACTATTAAAGGCTGTTGATGATGATTGATGAGATTGAATACATATAGATTAAATACTGTATTACCAACTCGAATATATAAATCATGGTCTGTTTTATCTATGACCATTAATAAATTAAATTTCAAATTTTATAGGAATATTCGACGGCTAATTTTAACGCTGTAAGTACTTACTTTTCAATGGCATCATACAACGGACATGGTAAATTCGTGTCATAAATCAAGCCTGCTATCTGTATAGGACACCGGAAACATTACCCAATCTAATATTTATTGCGCATGACAAATAGCTTTTTATTTTCTCCTGACTTTTGAACTGATTTAAATGAGATTTGCCGTTAAAGTTAACTAAAATTATATATTATAGTGCAGTTAAATTATAAAATATTATGGAGGAACGGGTTTCGTGTCTCTCTAACATAAAAGGATCATCCTCCTACCCCCGATGTAATCATACTTGGCGGACCAACCCAAAAATCGATGTTGGGATGTAATCGCGTGAATGTTCATAGCGCGATGTAGGATTGGTAGTTACTATGTATTGCGCTGTGTCTTCATTGAATGGTATTGAAGTACAAGAAGTTGTCACAATATTATACCCACTACAAACTCTTTAAATAAAAATAGCGTCAGCCATTTTAGAACTCTGACAGCCTTAGGTACTTATTACCAGTATTTACTACTTTAGAAATCCTGGTTAATCTTTCTTACAGTAGATGTGTTACAACAAATAAATTCGATAATAAACTTTTGAGTTACCCGATATGAATTTTATAGCCAAA